CCTATTTATCATGATTATATTGTGTCTAGGATTACCCTATTTATCATGATTATAATTGTGTATAGGGTTACCCTATTTATCATGATTATAATTGTGTCTAGGGTTATGGGTTATCCTATTTATCATGTACTTTTGTATCAATTTATTCTTATAAATAGAAGATTGTGAGAGGATCAATCAAGCCCTCTAGAATCATTTTAGTGTTTAATTCTCAAGTATTTCAAACTGTCAGCAACTTACTACTCATCTGCATAGAAATCTGACTGAAAAAGTAATAATAGAGATGGATGCTGTGTGGCACAACAATATCCATGAGCATGATGGAGGAGCACAACTGAGCTCTATTTTTATTTTTCTCATTGTTAGTGACATACATGCTAGATGACTGAATAGTCTCAATAAAATACGTGCATAGAAACCAATTAATTATTCAATTTTTTTAAAGAAGCAACATTTAAACACTTTACAATTTAAAGAAGTAAATGCCAAAATGCAATGTTAAATGCCAAAAGTTGGAACTCAACAAATTAAATAAATAAAAATGTTTGAGGTCTAACATTTAATATATACATAGGGTTAAAAGCTTTCAATCCTCTCTCATAAACTAGCTTTTGGTGTTGAGTTAGACCTAGTCCAAATTCAAGAAGGATAATTCATGTGAGAGTTGAAATTGAGTTTGTTGTCTCATTGATAACCCTCTCTTGACAATCCACATGGGGACAATTTCATCTAATAATACTCTATTTTAGAAATAACAATAGTATGTCAACAATATCTTATCTCACTTGGAGCAACTTCATCTTGTTGGTCCCTTTGTCTATACACTGGTGGCTCTTTCTACAGATAGTTCTTCCTGGATTATAACTTGCTAATGGTCACATAATCTAACATGGACATCCCAAAAATACGTTACATAAAATCACTCTCAGTAAAACCAAACTCATTTCCCATGTTGAAAGTCTCAATGTCATGTTATATAATGGAATTTCATTCATCATAATTAAAATATGATAGAATAATATAGGCAGGTAAGGTAAACTTAGTTACGGAGAGAGAAATTGATACCTAGTGAATTACTTACGAGAAGAAGAATGTAGGGGTGTGGAAGTTTATTGTTGAAGCGTGGTGTGGGTCTAGAGTATGTACTCTGACTTGGGAGGGCCTTCTCCGGTGGGGTCTTCTCTTGTACTTGTTTCTTATTTTTAGAAATGCAAATACATCAGATTTCTAACAGAAATTCTTGTAAAATAATTGCTTGTCATATTCCACAAAATATAATCACCTAATTGATCAAAAAAGTTCACATGCAAAAATTTTAGATGGTCAGCAGCCAATACAAAGACTTATTTCTCCTAGCAAATAATATTAGATAACAGTTACATTACAAAATAATTAAGATAATGATCATAAAAATATTAGAAATATGCTGCCATGGTCGCTATCCACTTAAAAACTATGCAGAATCAAACCAAATCACTGTTTTGAACGCGTACTGATGTTTAATTTTAGAAGATTATTTAATGATGATAAATCCATTCCTAGACTGCTAAAATACACCTTCAAACGGTGGTTGAAGTGAGGGCCTTATATTTTATAAAGTTTCATTCTTAAAATTACAAAAGTGGCCGTCCTTTCTTTTTTTAAAAAAATTGATTGGCGTGTTTCATTTTGCAGGCAATTGCTGTAGCTTCATGCATTCAGGAGTCATGGCCTGTTCTCATAATTGCACCATCTTCACTGCGCTTGCAATGGGCTTCTGTAAGAATGGCATTTTTTTTCATTTAATAAAACACATTCGGAAACTTATTTTATGGTCCCGGTTTTTCTTTATTTCAGATGATTCAACAATGGCTGAATATTCCTTCATCAGATATACTAGTATGCTATGCATGATCCCTTCACCGAATTTTATGTATTGTTTTGGTTTATATAGAAAATTGTTTTGGTTGTTCGAGGATTCTATTCTGATAAAATACATAATTTACTTTTGTATTCTGAATTCATTTCCCATAAAATAGATTGTCTTACCTCAAAGTGGTGGATCAAATAGAGGAGGTTTCAACATTGTATCTTCAAGTTCTAAAAACAGCATTCGTTTGAATGGACTATTCAACATCATCTCATATGATTTGGTGCCAAAGCTGCAGAATTTGCTTACGACATGTGACTTTAAGGTTAGTACTTTCATGTTATCGGAATTTTCTGACTTTCATTATGGTTCCTACGTCCTTAATCATATATCAGTATTTGATTTTAACCATTTCTTGAAGGCTGGGTACAATAAATAGAGGAAGTCATCTATATATTATTGCAATCAAAGTGTTGAAATTTTGAAATACATGAATTTGATGAAGTATTTAATGTTTGTAAATTATGAGGCTCATTATGATCTGCATGTTTATACTAGGCTATTAAACAGTGTGTTTACTTGACCACGGGTTGTTAAATAGAAATTGTAGCTTGTGTACTGAACTCTTTCTTGGTAGCGGTCCAATGGTGCAGCGTCTTGTAGACTTTTGCAATCATTGTTGGGTATGTTAGTTGGTTTTCTTTTTCTGTTCTATGTATCTATACTTTCTGGGCCCCTTTATAAGGGTGATATGTACACATCCATAGATGATGCTTCTATTGTAATTGACGTTTGCTGTGTTCTTTTGTATCTCTTCTCTACTTGGTAATACGAGACTTGTTTTTGTCTCCTTTCGTTTGATTGTTTTCTGTGCATTGTTCTTCCAGAAATGTTATATAGATTGATGGAAGCTGTGGAGGTGATTACTGTTTCCCCCTTCTTTGGGTCTGTTGGCTGGGAATTCTATTAGTTATTGGTTATTAAATGAAAATGACTTCCATTATCCATTCAAATAAATCATCTGATAATGATTATGGCATTTGTTTTACACGGTATCCCTTAGTTTGAGGTTGCATGTGATTTTCAGAGTGTCTAGCAGCTATTGCATATGTATCCTGATCATAAAATAGCGAATATACAAATTATTTTTTTCTTTTGTTTCAATTATGACCTCTTGCCCTTTTGGTATACTTTTTCTTTGAAAAAAGTGAAATGATTTGAGCAAGGGGCTAAATAGTAATTATTTTTTATATTTCATCGTTTTTTTATTATTGTGTTTGTATAATCAAAGCTTTTCCTGAATTTATGTCTGACTATAATTCTTTGCCTGCATACATGGTAAAAACATCGCTCCAATTATTACTGATAATCACACTCTTAGATATGAACTATTTTTGTCCAGGTTGTGATTGCTGATGAATCACATTATCTGAAAAATGCTCAAGCAAAGAGGACAACTGCTTCTCTTCCTGTAATAAAGGTATTCACTCTTGAAAGTGACAATCAAATGTATACCCATATCTAAATTTCATGTTTAACAGACACAGAAAACATATAAGGAAAAAGATAGGAGAAGAAGTGAGAGAATTGAATGGATAATTAAACCGGAGAAAAAGAAACAATAAGTCTGTAGGGTGCACGGAAGCGTCAGCAAAGGGTCTAGTACTCTGAACCCTTGTTCCCCTCCTCCCCTAAAGGAAGTTTGACTTCATATATGAAACATATAAAGTAAATTTTGTTTTAGCTTCAATTGCAGTATAGACTGTCTGCGGTAGAGTTTTCTGTTAAATTCTCTCATGCTTTCTTTGACAACAAAGTATTGTAAAATTGTCAGAAAGCTCAATATGCATTATTGCTTAGTGGAACACCAGCTTTATCAAGACCAATTGAACTATTCAAGCAGGTAACTCTTTTTATGTTGATTTATGTTTCATACCTCATTAGTATTTGGCATTTAGGAGTATACATTTTAATAATCTGATTGAAATTGTGCTGTAGCTGGAAGCTTTGTATCCTGATGTATATAAGAATGTTCATGAATATGGTAACCGGTACTGCAAGGGTGTAAGCCATCTCGTCATTACTGATAAAATCCTTTTGATTAGCCAGTTTTTCTTTTGCTTTTAATGGATGAGCATTCATGCTGCCATTATCACATGGATCTTCCAGGGATTTTTTGGACTTTATCAAGGTGCAAGTAACCATGAAGAGTTGCACAATTTGATGAAGGCTACAGTGCTGATTCGCAGGCTTAAAAAAGACGTTCTTTCTCAACTTCCTGTAAAGCGCAGGCAACAAGTGTGTACATTTATTACCATTGGTTCTCTGCAACATTTTATGTTCTGCACACTTTTGACTGCTTATTTCAATTTGTGGATACTCATGTTTTATGGAACCTAAGAATTGATTATTATATTTGTTTGGTAACTGGTTCACAGGTCTTCCTAGACTTGGCTGACAAGGACATGAAGCAAATTAATGCTTTATTTCAAGAGGTGATTCAATATATCTGCTGTTCATCTTTGCCTGTAGAATTGATTTCCAATTCGAATAAGTAATTTGACTTCCTTTGGCTTGACTGTTCGGTAGTTGGTTAATGCACATATTGTCATCAATTTACATAACTTGCTTTTGCTAATAAATGAATTGTATTCTAGTTTGTGATTGAGAAAACTGATATCTTCTTTTACTTATGAAATTGATTAGAAATTTGCTCTGAAGTTTTACCTAGATCTGTACTGGTAGTTGTTACACACACACACACATATTTACAAAATCAGTTTACCTGGAAATAGTAGTATTTATGTCTTGTCTATGTTAGAGGTTGTAAAAAGCTGACCAGGATTGATTTTTCTCCCTATAGTTGAAAATGGTAAAAGCCAAAATTAAGGATGCTAAATCACAAGAGGAGGCAGAATCACTCAAGTTTACTCAAAAGAATATAATTAACAAGGTATTGACGGAATGACTTCTGCACACAATTCAGGTTGCACTATTTGTTTGAAAATTTGTTGCTATTTCCTAGAAGTAGAACATATGTTTCTACTTTATTTTCTGCAATGCATGCTCCCATTCTTCATGTGGGGTAATTTAAATTTTGACTGTTTGTGGTTAAACATAAAATTTTGATTTATTCAATTCCAGATATATACTGATTCTGCAGAAGCCAAGATTCCATCTGTTCTTGATTATCTTGGAACTGTCATTGAGGTACTCCTCTCCTTCACCTCGTTGCAGCAATGGAGGATTAATACTTTCAACACTGCATATGCACCAAGATCTCTATGATATGTTTCCTGCTTTCTTTGTATGAGTATACTTGCATGTATTATGTTTATTTGTTACCTAATCTCATACTATTTAGTTTTGGATAAATTTGTCGTTTTGTGTTTCTTTTATTGTAAAGATGCCTTTTAACACTTACTGTAGGTTGATTATTTGAATCGATTGAATGAATATTGTGGTAATATTTTTAAGAGTAGGCTGATTCTACAAGAACATATTAGATAATATTCTGTTGCATATCCTTAATTTTGACAATGACAAGCTTGAGCTGTAGCCTGTGTTCAAGTCTCTATTAGAAAGTATTTGTGGCGATAAAGATTCTGAGAAAAAAATAAAAAAACTTTTAGCGGGATAGTTTCAGTCCTGAGTACTAAAGGTTGCTTCCCTGTAAGTTATATTTCCACCGTTGATTCTGGGTCTCAAGAATTGTGCTGCGGAAAATGGAAATTAATGGATCATGGCGCTTTCTTGTGCCTGCTACCAAGCTATTGGTCACAGTGTACTGAGAAATTTGTAGCCAAACTACACATTAATTGCATACCAAAATAGATGTGAACAGATCGTTGTTGAGTTGATTGATTTATCTCATGCTTCACCCCTAATCAAATGAGTATAATTAATTGAAAAGAATGTCATCTTCAGTTTTTTAATCTTAATATTTTTTTAATTGGGTTGTTGATCATTGGAAGTGGTAATGTTATGCTTCCTAATTGTCACAGGCAGGTTGCAAGTTTCTTATATTTGCACACCATCAGTCAATGCTTGATTCGATACATGAGTTTCTTCGTGTAAGTCCACTTAAATGTTATGCATCTCATCCTGAAATGGTAAAGTCTCATAAAACTGCTCAAAATTTCCAGAAGAAAAAAGTGGGTTGCATACGGATTGATGGAGGTACACCTGCTGCTTCCAGACAGCAATTGGTCACTGAGTTTCAGGAAAAAGATTCTACAAAAGCAGCAGTGGTATGGTAAATTTTGTTACGAACATCCTTGCATTTATTTTTCTAACTCTATTGAACTCTTGCAATCTTGGACTATAATTCTGGCATAAAATATGGTTCAATTTGAGTTAATGAATTTCTGTTCATATGTCTGCAGCTATCTATTAAAGCTGGAGGCGTTGGGTTAACTTTAACTGCTGCCAGCACAGTAATCTTTGCAGAATTGTCTTGGACTCCCGGTGACCTAATTCAGGCTGAAGACCGTGTTCATAGAATTGGCCAGGTATCCTCGAACATGGGTGCTTCCTTAGTATAAAGAGAGAAGAAAAAATTAAATAGAGATATACAACCCCCTTGTAGTTCAGATAAGGCATCAATGGTACTAGCATGATAACATTATGAAACCCTGGCAATCTCGGGAAAAGATTGAGAATATCTCCATATGGAAAAGTTCTACCATACTTGGCTGATTCTCAGTAGCCAACGTGTTATGATGTTCTGATGACTCTTTCACTTGCTACTTCTTGTGTTTAGGTGTCTTCAGTAAATATATACTACTTGCTTGCGAATGACACGGTTGATGACATCATATGGTGTGTTTTGTGCTTTTCTGCTGTTATCTAAAGCTTGGTGGTTGTTACTGACTTGATCTCTTAGATATTAATAATACTATAATTTTTTCACTTTTCAGGGACGTAGTGCAAAGCAAACTGGAAAATCTGGGGCAGGTAAATCTCTATTTTTTAGGAACTCTCCCGGTCGTAATGAGATTAATTATATAGACAGTTTCTGTGTAGTAAAATGATATGGAGGTCCAAGTTATGATTTATCTTTCTACCCGTTAGAGAAGATTTATACCCAAGTAATTTTTTATTGTTTGGATTGATGCTTAAAGATGCATTCTGAATTTAAGTTATTGAAACAGATGTTAGACGGTCATGAAAAGGCCTTGGAGGTCTCTGCTACTCTGCCAGAGAGTAGCCCTTCAAAGCAGAAAACTCTGGACCAGTTTATTAGAAGACCTGAAAACGCGGATAGCCCTTCAAAGCAGAAAACTCTGGACCAGTTTATTAGAAAACCTGAAAACTCGGATAGCCCTTCAAAGCAGAAAACGCTAGACCAGTTTGTTCGAAGATGTGATAAGATAGATGGGTTGGAACATGAGCCCAAACGTCCCCGAAACTGACCCTTGAAACGGTAACCAATTTTTTTCCTGCTTGTATATGTTTGCATGACTGCTTACAATTATTTCTTCAAAAATTTAACAGTCGGTGCTCAAGGTGGACTACAATTATCGTCCCTTGAGAAGAGGGGCTTCTAAAGCAGGAGGGTGTAGCTTCGCAGCACAGTTTACAACTCTAAACTGTGCAGCTTATGACGAAGGAACTGAACGGTTTTGCAGAATATGCATGGGATGGAATCAAGGTTCTCACAGATTTTAGGCTTCAGATTTCCCATCAGTTTTTAGTGGGACATGTACAGAGTACAATATCATGAATGTAACTTGTAAATTGCTTTTTACTCAATGCAAATTTTTGATATCATTGTCATGTCATGTATGATATTTAATTTTATACTAAGTTAAGAACTTGTGTTTTGTAAAACCTCTTGTACGAATCACGTTAAGAGTGGTTTAAACGATCTCTATTGTCAAAAAAAACTTACCTTTCATAATTATCTCCTTCAATTTTTTATGAATTCTTAAACAATAAAGACTAAAAGAAATGATACAATGAGTAAAGACTAAAAAAGTTTTTTAATACGACTGGAAAGATTAAATAAGTTAAAACCTATAATTTAATGTTAAATATAGTATATGTTCGTATGTTGCTGAAAAAATAAGGAAGAAATGTAACGGTTAATTGCCGCCAAATTATTGTAAAGAGTTAAACTACGGAAAGGCATTCCAAATAAGCAAGGAAAGGAATATAGCAACTAGTTTATATACAAAGATAATTCGAAAAAACCATTGTTAATAATGTCAATACCACTAAAAATGTTATGTACAAAAAAAAATCTTCGAATCTCTTTAAAAAAGAGTACATTCAACATTTTGCAATACATTTAAACTACACTTCTTATCTCAATTTTTTTAATTATAACATGTTTATCAAAATTAAATCGAGTTGATTAGTGGATTAATTTCAGACAGACAACGTTAATCAATGTTCAGATGTCCATGTTTTCATTTATAATAAAAGCATTCAAAGTCTCGAGGTAATCCAACATTTTTTAAATCTACATTAATTTACATGAACAATAATGATTTGAATAAGCATTTAATGTTTATTAATGATGCTTATCATATCTGCAATTCTATATTTATCTAAATAAAATTAAATATATTTATTTATTAAAACTAACAAAATATTGCAATGAAAGTATCCGATAAGAAACTAGTATATATACATTTACAAATAGCACACAAGTGGTTACCATAGCCACATCAAGTAGCCGTAATTGCACCTGCCATTCCTATATCTGTGGGATTCTCCCCTAAAAATCTAGCCACAATGGCATCCACATCCTCCAAGCCAACTCCAATGAACAGAGGGTTAGCTGGAAACTTAACAGAATCATCAAGTCCCTGAGCAAGGCTATGATCAACGGAATTCTGAACTCTCACATTAGGAGCACTTTTGCACTTGCCCATGCACTTGCATGCAACAACAGCACCACCTTCAACACCCACCACTTTTTCAAACTCTTGCAACAATGCAGCAGCCCCTGATCTTTTGCACTTCCCACCCATGCAGACCTCAATCCTCTTCTCAGAACTGGTGGTAACTACACCACTCTCTCTCTTAATACCACCATCTCTAACACTGCTAACAGAGACATCGTTGTTAGAGCACAAATCCATGGCATCACGACGTGAATTCCCGTCCTCAACAATGGGGATGATCTTGGTTATTGGGGATTCATCCACAGGTGCAGCAGGGGCAACAACACTAACACCAACACCAGATCTGAAGCTGTTCATGTCAACCACTTGATCACAACCACAATCGCTGTCACTTGATTCAGACGATGAAGATGAAGATTCACACTTCTTTTTGGAGGCCTTGAGTTTAGCCTTCTTCTCCTGTTTCCTCTTTTTCTTCATTTCCTTCTCCTTTGCTCTTGCAGCTTCCAACTCTCTAAGTATCACGTCGCCAGCATCCTGCACGCAGTCAAACAACACCGTTTCAATAATATTTTCTTGGGTAAAAAACTTCATCTACCATTATCATCATTATTAGATTTATGTACATTGTTGTTTCTATTACTGTTAATATACTTATTATAAAAATTAATAAACCTATTTCATACGCAAATATACATTAAAAACTTTGATCTCCTTATTTTTTATTCGCAAATATAGATTCTGGGATTATTTCATTCATGAACTTTAACATCCGATATTTAATAAATTCCCTGATCTGACATCTATAATTTCACAATTATAAAAGAAGAAATAAAAAAAAAAAACAGAGCGAGGCCAAATTTGTAAATACTAATCACATATAAATCAAATTATAATAAAACATGTTATTATTATTAATATTATGATTATCAAGCAAGGGATAATATACAATCATAATTCTGAACAGTAACAAGATAAAAAAAGGGAAAAAATTGTACCGAGGTGAGGTTTTGTTGAAGATCATAGAACATGGAAAGCTTCTGAGGATCCGAGGCGAACCCTAATTTGGAGAAATCCTTCAGCAGTTTCAACTTTTTCTTGGGAGAGAGAACCTTTTTGGTGTTCTGGTAATACTGCAGATGCCCCTCGTCACAGAAGTCAGAACCCGTTCCCATTCTCACCGCAACACGAGGAGCCACGCCACGGGAACGCGTGTGAGTCCCAGCGCCGGAGACGTAGCTGACATGACGGAAAACGGTGCCAGAAATCTCCATGCGTGACGATGGCAACGAACGACGCAAAGTTCTCCTTTTCTTCCTTTCTAATCTTTCCTAAGATGCTTCGATAATCTTCTATGAATGTTCTTTTCTTAATCAACAAACACGTTTTTTCTTTTTTGAACTTTTTCAGCTAACGTGGCTGTCTCTTATTGGGCATTTTTGACGTGGCTCGCACTTTCGTTTAGCCTCTGGTGGACACGTGACCGTTTTGGTTTTCCACGGTTTTCTTTCGTTCCGCGCACGAATTTCTTTGATCTCGGGCGTTGGATTAACTTCCCATCGTCCTGCGGTGGAGATGCAAACAGAGTGGCGACACGTGTTTGGCTTTTTAATGACGCGTCACCATTTTAAAGAACACGTGGTCATAGACGATGCCTTGTGACAGATGGATCTTAGACGACTCGTTATTATCTTTTATACAATTTTCTTTTAAATTTATCATATTAATAATCACTTTTCAAATTCAAATAATACTTGATTTTTAACATTCAAACAATTATTCATAATAAAAATATTGTTTTTATTTTACATTTTTAGTAACTATTTTCTTTTTTGAATTAAGTAATTACTTTCATAAAAAATATTAAAATAGTAAGAAATTTATAAATTTGTTATAATTTCATAATAACTATTTGTCATAAAATTTATTTCATAATTTGTTAATAATTTCAATTTTAATAATAAAAAATCATTTCATATTTTAATAATTTTTTTAAACATTCGCTGAATTGTTTTTACTTGTTTATATAAATTTTTCAAACTCTTATCAAATAACTTCCCTCCTTTACGGAGGTATATTACATATAAAAAGTTCAGATTTAATTATCTTAAAGTTAATTTGAAAATCTATTCCATTCAGTTAAAATATCTCTTTTCGTTAATATACTTTGATTATATTTCAACGGTTTATATTTAATATTATTAATTAATAGAATATTTAAATGAAATAAAAAATAATTATATTTTCACATTATTCAAATAAATATTTGTATAGTAATCACTTTTAAATTTTTAGTAACTTATACTGAATTATTACGTGATCATCTTTTAGTAACGGTGTTTCAGAATTGAATTTATTTATACCATTGCATATTTAACCTCATATTAAACAGTAATAAAAACATATACTTCTATCTTGGTGAATAGTAATTTAAGAAAAAAAAATTATGTGCATATATCCTTTGAGGTATAACTTGGTGACAAGAGGAACAAAAGACTGCAAAAAAAAAAAAAGTTTGATTTACACTTTTTTTTCTTAAATTCTAAACTATCATTTGCAATTTTAAAAATCTTATATTTTATTTTTCTTATATTTTATTTTTTTATCAATAAATTTCAAAATTCGTTTTTAACAGATTTTAAAATTTAATGATAAAATATCTCAGGAATTTGACGAAGGATCTTTTATTAGATTCTGAAATCTGTTTAAATCTTTAAAAGAAATTTTTAGAAAATTTGAAATTTGACGAAGTAACATTTTTTTATTGAATTTCGAAATTCAATAAAAAATTTTATCATATTTTCAAATTCGTTAAAATAAAACATAACTTTTATGACTATTTTTAGAAATTAAAAATGCAGAATGATTGAAATTCAAGTAAAACAGCCTCCATTTAATAATGAAAGAGTTCAGAAGAAAAAAATGTCAAAAGTCTAGATTAGTCCATTTAATAACAAACAGTATAGAAAAAATAGGCCTGATCTGTCCATTAAATAATAAAACAGCGCAAAAATAAAAAAATCAATAATGCCATTTATTAGTATTATATACTTTTTTTTAACTATCGAATTTATTTTGATAATGAAAAATATCCCCGAACTTTTCATCATTATTTTTACTCCTAATAAGAATGATTTTTACAGGCACGATACAAGGTAAAATCTTTTCCAATTAAATTTTCATTCTTGAACGAAAAGAACGTAAATGACTATATAATGCAGTAGAAATCGCTTCAGAAGTGTTTTTCCCAAGCTCTACAGATTGAACATGACTGTTATACTTTTGAAGTAACTCTATAAACATTGATCACATGCACCTTCAAAAGCCAAAGTTTCTTCTTCTTCACGGTCTTTGTTACATGCACATAATAGTGAAGACCCTATTCCTAGGTTATGACATGTTGGGAGCTCCCAGATTATTAGCCATTTGACCTTACTATGGAGTTTTCTTTCTTCAGAATCTCTTCATGTCTAACAAGCATTGACATTGGAGATGAGAAAAAGAATAATGAATGTTGAATACCCATCTTTTGTAGCATAAAGTAACAGTGGTTTACCATGATAATGGTATGCCAGCCAAAAGTTCTCGAGACCCTGCTAGGTGTCCTGGTACACGTTGCCGTATCTCTTCAAAACAACACATTGTTTCTGAGTCCAATCCTCCAGCAAACTACAAAAACATGCTAAAATTAGTGTGACAGCTTCGTATATGATGAAATTGGTGCATGTGGTCTGTCTATGTAATAAAATGAAGAACATGCTGTGAAAGATAAATAATATTTCACTCAGTGAGAGTGGCCTTTTGATGACATGTAAACAAACATGTTTAGGGGTTCAACTTATGATGTGCTTTAGTCACAAATTTCTGAACATTTACTAGTTACACATGAAAATCAGAAGTGATGACAAAAAATCTGCAGACAGATGCTAACAGTTTACCTGATGGGCTCTGTATGCAAAATGCACACCCTGAAGCAGAAGAGAATCTTGAATAGATTCTCTGTCGGAATTGCGAACGGATTCAAGCTCGATTGTCACTCTTTTCATGTACATCTTGACAAGGGTCATGGAAGCCTGCTTTATCTGCATATAGATGATATATTATTCATTAAGACAAGTTTTACAATGCAAATTTAGCATGTGCAAAGACAACAAATCTTCTAAGGGTTTGTTTGAAAGTTTCTCCTAAACACTTCTATGAGAGAAAAATAACCCAAAAAAAATGAAATTAGAATCTGTATAAGCTTCTATTAGCTTCTCATAAATCCTGCTTTTAATTCATGTACAAAGTAGTTTTAGTCTATGGAGAAACTAATTTCATTTCTCTTTCTTATTTATGAAGAAGTATCCTCCAAACAGGCCCTAAGACAAGACATTGAAAAGCAATCATGCTCTTATATAAATGCAAATGACTTATGATAAGAAACACATGGATTGTGATGATTGGAAATGTACGGCCATCTCCAGTAGTTGTCGGTGATCATTAATAATATTTTGAATAAGAATGAATTTTCTATTTCTAAAGAGGAAGTCATATAATATGCCTCTGCAAACAAATTAGATAGTCACATCTTTTAAATCATGCATACTTCATTGAATTTGTTAGACATGACTGAAAGAAAAACAACTCATGAGTTTTAACGCAGAAAGTTTTAATCACAGGGACATCCTTGTATGAACGTTGAACATTCATCTCGCTTCAGAGGTATAGACTACGTTCATTCAATGTTCTCATTTCAAAGATATAGCATAAAAAAACCATACATTGCTCATTATTCCAGAATCAAGCATCCATGCAGTTGGAATGTTGTACACTTGATATGAATGTATGACTGAACTCCGTAGCTTTATTAGCCTCTGTATTCTCCTCTCAGACCTGTTACAACGAGATGTAAAGAGAGACAGAGTTAGCATCCTTGACCTGTAAATGTCATATCAGTGATTAAAAAACAGGAACAATATATCTAACTTGTCTAATAGGCTGGCCATCTTTTTTAAGGCAGCTCCACATGGAATATCAGGGTCATCCTTGTAGGAGGAGATTTCCTGTTCTAGCATTTTGAGTTCATGATACTCAATTGCAGCCTCTCTCAATGCATCAGCTCTCTTCTCAGGCCACTTAAAATGCTTCAAGACAGCACGTTCATCAGCCTGCAGAATGAAAGATACAGTCCTTTGTTTTAAAGAAGAAACCAGTTATAATTTATGTTGTATCTGATTACAACATTACGTGACACTGGCATACTTTTAAGAATCTTGTAGTACAGTCTCATTTTCTGATGAAACTTCATTAGATGTACATTATTAAACTAAACATTAATATTCAATACCTTAACTCATGCATTTCTGCATAACCACCTTTCCTTGTAGGGCTTAGATCATTCATGAAGGTTAAACTATATGCAGCAGTAAAACTCGATGAACAGGAATGTACGAATAGAATATACCATTTTTTTGTCTTGGGAACAGGAAAGGATGATGACATTAAATGCTAAATCAATAAAGTTATCTTTCAGAGTCCATATAAAAGTATTGTCTCAATTTCTTATTACATGTCACTTTTAAAGAAAATAAATATTTCTACTTATCTGTCATTAATTATTATTTTCTTACTTATTTAAAACTTGCAAAATGAAAACGACAAATAAAAGTGTAAAGCATATATCAAAGTACAGAAAAGAAAGATACTAAGAAATTACAAATATATCTTACATGATAAATAGCTAAATCAATTGGCTGCTCATGCGGTAATCATTATCTGCCAGATAAACAGTTTCGCTAGAAACTTACCAATGATGATAGTTTTCCATCAAGCCAATTAACAAACTTTAAGACCTCTTCAATATCCGTGAATGCTGCATCTACTACTTTCTTTATGAGGTCATTAACGAACTCTCCTTTTGTTTCAATATCTGTCCTTATCTGGAAAAGATGGTCATTTATTAGTCTCATTAAATAGTAGTACACATCTCAAAGTTAGAAACACATTGAATGCAAAGCTTACGGCTAACAGATGAGCTGAACGGTTTTGAATTTCTCCCACAATGCTACTGTGTGCACTAATAACTACTGGTCTCTGATGATTCACAGGTCCTTTTGAGTCTATCTTCCCATCTTTACTCTTTAACGAGTGAAATAGTTCAACAATTGCAGCACCCTTTTTGGTGTCAGATAATCTTGCTGAAGGCCGAGATGGAATTGGAGGTGGTGGAGGAGGAGGAGGGGGTTGCAGGCATGTGCTGTGTGCAGAATTTCTTCCTATAATTGGTGGTGATAGTGGTGGAGGTGGCTGCAGGCATATATTGGGTGGAGATTTTCTTCCTATACTTTTAGTTTCATGAATGGAATAACTTCTGGTTGGTGA